ACTTTCCCAACATCAGGGTCTTTTCCAGGGAGTCTTCTCTTCTCATGAGAGTACTCTATCTTTAAAACCACTCCACCTACAAAAGATCAAGCTATTTCTTCCTCCAACACCATTAAAAGGCTTCACTGGCTATGCCCAAGCTCTGCCTAAGATTGTAGGAATGCCCCTATAGAAGGAGAACAATGGTCTATTAGTCCAGTTTCTACCATCCCATGATGGCCACTTGCAGAAACCAGAGCCAGCTGAATTGCAAATCAACAATCTGCTTCGCAAACTGGCCTTTCATTCTGTCCATCTTGAATCTCCTCCAACTCTAATGAATTGCATGTCCTTGAGTTTTGGCATCACCAAGTGGTGGCCAGGATGGAAACCCCCTTCAATCCACTTTCTCTACACCAGGACAGGCCCTTTAAGCCAGAGGCTTTGATCCATCAATGAAAGAGTCCTACACTAGCTTGTGTACATGGCAGATTCCCTTTCATCATCAGCATCACCATGAAAGTGCTACTGAGACTCTTCCTCTTCCTCACACTGCTCAAAACAGGTAAGGTCTGGTTGCTGATCAATTTTAGCCTTGTTCCACTGAGGGAGGGGGAAAGTGCTCAGACCTATGCAGGAGCCAGATGGTTCACACAGATGTGAAACAGAAGATATGCCTAATATCTTTATTAATGCAAATAGCATTCAGTATGTTGACTTTTGGACTGTGCATAAATCACTGTTTACATTTGAAAATCCAAGTAACTTCTACAGCATAGGAACAAGACCCCCCAAAAGGAAAATTCAGGGAGAGTACCAGATTTCCAGAGAAAATTAAATGGCTGCACATCTTACGTCATGCTATGGGACCATATAGCCACTTACACCTAGTGATATAATGGATTTGAAGAGAGCTTCCACAGCTAGGCAGTGCCACCCATACTCTGCTTCCTTAGACTATATTGGAGAAATTCCAATTAGTAGCTCTCTCTTGCAGTATCAGTCAAGTACCAGTGATTTAAATTTAAATCGGCAATGTACAACTGATGCTGCTATTTTCTGTAACTTTATTTAAGGTGGAATAAGATGCAATAAGGCTGTCAGTTACACATCTGTTGAGAGAGAGAGAGAGAGAGAGAGAGAGACTTCTAAAGTAAAATCATATCATAGCATTTTTCACATGTCTCCCCCCACCCCCAGATTTCCACTGCTACAGGTAAAATGCTGGACATAAACCTACGTAGATGGGATAAAAGTCCCCAGAACAACTTACTAAATCAGAGCTGTGAGAACCTTTGGCCACCCATGATTTGGCCTATATTCCCCATACTTCATGCCCTAGTTGGCCATGCTGATTGGGGCTGAGGATCTGTGCAGTAGGCTAGGACAGTGGTTCTTAACCTTTGTTACTCAGGTGTTTCTGAACTGCAACTCCCAGAAACCCCAGCCAGCAGAGCTGATGGTGAAGGCTTCTGGGAGTTGCAGTCCAAAAACATCTGAGTAACAAAGGTTAAGAACCAGTGGGCTAGGACATCTGAAGGGCTTAGAGGTCTCCATTTATGGGTGAACCTTTAGTCCCCAGTAGAGATGGGCAACTTGCTGCAGTTTGGCAACTTGTGTGTGGTTTGGTGGATCAGGCCCACAGGTGTTGCACACGTGCCTCAGATTCCATGCCACGCCTCCTCCTCCTCCTCCAGGCACCCATACAGAGGAGGAGGAGGAGAAGGCAGGGAAGGAAAGCCTGCAGCGCTGCTTCTGATCTGAGGCTGGCAGGAGGAGGCTGGGCAGGGAATCTGGAGTGCCCATGGAGCCCCTGTGGGCCTGATCTGCTGAACTGCACTGCACCGTCTGTAGGACTTCTCAGTGGAAGGGAAAGCAGAGGAACAATGGTTCAGCATCTCTTTATCCTGTACAGTTTGCTTTCTTCCTGCTAAAGTTAGATTCCAAGCCTCATGTTATATTTTAAGAAATTACCGTGTTTGTCTGAAAATAAGAAAATACAGTGGTGCCTCGCTAGACAGTTACCCCGCATGACAATTTTTTTGCTAGACATTGATTTTTGTGATCGCTGTAGCGATTCGCAAAACAGTGATTCCTATGGGGGAATTTCGCTGGACAATGTTTGGTCCCTGCTTTGCAAACCAATTTTCCCTAGACAACGATTTTGACAGCTCCCTCCGCGCTCGCAAAATGGGTGTTCTGTGGACCTAAGCTTTGCAAGACAGCGATTTAAGCAGCTGATCGGCGGTTCACAAAGCGGCTTTCCTATGGCCGATCTTCGCTAGACAACGACAATTCTTCCCCATTGGAACGCATTAAACAGGTTTCAATGCATTCCAATGGGAAAATGCTTTTCGCTAGACAATGATTTCGCTAAACAGCGATTTCAGTGGAACGGATTATCATCGTCTAGCGAGGCACCACTGTATTAATTTTTGCTCCCCAAAATGCATTAGGGCTTATTTTCAGGGGATGTTTTTTTTTCATGTACAACATTCTACGTTTATTCAAATGCAGTCATGTCATCTTCTTCTGGTTGCTGCACAAGGGGGGAGGGTGGGCTTTCACTGAAATGGGGCTTATTTTGGGGTACATTCTGAGTATCCTGAAAAATCATACTAGGGCTTATTTTCAGGTTAGGTCTTATTTTCGGGGAAGCAGGGTAGATAAGGAAAAGAAGCATGTGTCTGTCATGGTCTCATTTGAGGTTTGGAAGATTACATTCTAACTCCATACGTGGACTTGGTGTCCGCGGACATGTGTTGCTCTCTTTTCGCTGTGCAGGTGCCCCTCTCAAATGTGAAACTTGTGAAAGCCATGGAACCAACTGTACCAGCACAATGAAGACCTGTCCTCCTCATATATCTACCTGTGCGGTGGCACTTATTGAAAACGCTCTAGGTGAGTCTGGAGGTAAAGCCTATGGGCAGACCAACAGATCCAAGGCTAGACCAGATTGGACCAGACCTTTTCTTCTGCCAGACTTTCATGATTTGTTGGCTTCTTGCTTTTAAAAGATCCATGCTATATATATATTTTTAAAAAATGTGATGTATTTGCAAAAGTGCTTTTCAGTTTAGTAACTAAGCCATCATTGAAAGTGTGTGCGTGTGTGTGTGCATGTGTGTGTAGGCTTTGGACTGGCTTCTGACAGTTTCTTTAGTGCAGTGGTCTTGGGTCACCAGATGTTCTTGGACTCCAACTCCCAGAAATCCTGGCCAGCACAGCTGGTGGCGAAAGCTTCTGGGAGTTTCAGTCCAAGAACACCTGGACACCTAAGGCCGGGAACAATTGCTTTAGGGCAGTGGTCCTCAACCTTGGGCCTGCCGAACAGCTGATCCGCGGGTCGCAAAGCGAAGGTCGGTAAGCGAACCGCTTACCGATCATTGCAAAGCGATTTTTGGCCATAGGGGCCATCGGTATGCGATCGCATTTGCGATCGCTAAAACCCCCTCGCTATGCAGATTCGTCGTTCTACGGTGCGCTCGTTAAGCGAGGCACCATTGTATATTTTTTTAAAAATGTGATGTATTTGCAAAAGTGCTTTTCAGTTTAGTAACTAAGCCATCATTGAAAGTGTGTGCGTGTGTGTGCGTGTATGTAGGCTTTGGACTGGCTTCTGACAGTTTCTTTAGTGCAGTGGTCTTGAGTCTCCAGATGTTCTTGGACTCCAACTCCCAGAAATCCTGGCCAGCACAGCTGGTGGCGAAAGCTTCTGGGAGTTTCAGTCCAAGAACACCTGGATACCTAAGGCTGGGAACAATTGCTTTAGGGCAGTGGTCCTCAACCTTGGGCCTCCAGATGTTATTGAACTACAACTCCCAGAAGCCTTCACCACCACTTCTGCTGGCCAGGATTTCTGGGAATTGAAGTCCAAGAAACATCTCGAGGCCCAAGGTTGGCGACCACTGCTTTAGGGAATCGGCTGTTTTTTTGCAATTTCCTCCAAAGATTGCAGTCTTGTTTAACCGTTCATTGAATATCTGCTTTCATATATACCATACAAAGCTGATTACTTCCTCCAGGCCAAATAAACAAAACAACTACAACAAAAATAGCTTAAGTGTTCATCTGTGTGAGGGATTTTACAGGCATTTCAGCATTACACTTATTATAAGTGAAATAATAACCTTCTATACTATTTTTTTAAAAATAATTGTCCTTGCTTTTCGTTTTGCTCTGTGACATAATACTTTTTGATTTTTTAAAATTTGTCTCTGTTTTTATTGAGTTTTACCAACTAGTCTTTGAATCTCATTGCAAGCTTCCTCAAGTCCCAAACCGTTCTGAGAAAAGCCAAGATTTAAATCAAATAAATAAACAACAGTCACACGTTCATGACTGGAACAGTAATATTAATTACAGTCCATAAACACAGGACGAGGAAACGCTTTGGACATTTGCTAAAGCCTTACTTCTGTAAAACAAGCTTGACCAAACAAAATACCTTTATTGCTTGTCACCAAGGAAGCCCTTTTCCCTTTATTTCCCCCGCAGAGGGAGAAAAGATGGTCAGCGTAAGGAAAGGCTGTGAATTTTTGGAAATGTGCCCTACCGAAATGATACAATTCAGTGTGGGAAATGAAACAACCTACAGGGCAAATGTCATCTGTTGCATTGGTGCTAGCTGTGAAATTGTCTATCCGTATTTACAATGTAAGTATATCCTTCCTTTCTGTTTGATCCCGCACGGTTTCCCTTGGTGTCCAATGCTTTCTATCAGGCATGAACCGAAACCTCCCCACCTAATCTGTGTCAGAATAAATGGTATGTAGATCCGGGCACATATCCTGTATCCTTTAGCAGCCCATTTTGATCTGTTGCTCGTATAAGTCCACAGTGTTACTTATGTCTAGAGGAAGGGACTTAGCATACAGCCCTGGGGAGCTCCTGTACTTAGTACCAGGGTAGAAGAATGGCGAGATCCCATCCTTACTGACTGTGGCCTATCTATACATCATTTATCCTTACCAACAACGTCCAGGCATGGTTTCCTCTTCTTCTCCTTAAACTGAATGAGAATCTTTCTCCTGCCACTGTTTTCAGTACCACCCATACAGCCAAAAACCAATGGGATGAAATGCCCTGCATGTTACACCAAAACAGGAACATGCGGGCATGAAATGGTGGCTTGTACTGGACTGCAGAAGTTCTGCTTTGAAGTGTCATCAGTGTCCTATGCAGGTAAGTTTCATTCAAGATGCAATGGGCATTTAAAGCCTCTCCCCCTTCATTTCCTAGATCCTGGGTTCCCTCCAGTTATAGCGCTGTCTGGCCACATCGTAGCTGGGATGTTGAAACAGAGACTTCTATAAGGATTGTTTTTAGAGATGGGCATGAACTGTCGTTTTTTTTTGGCTGAACAGGTGTTAGTTCCTAGCCCTACCTCCTCCAGTGATTGGTCAGAACACCTCTGATCTAAAGCAAGGTCCGGTTTTATTTCTTATGAGATTAAATAATGACTGCATGCCATCAAGTCAATTCTGTCTCTGACCTTTCTCAGAGTTTTCTAGGTATAAAGTCCTCAGATGTCCCTTCTCCTAGGACAGTGGTTCCCAACCTTGAGTCTCCAGATGTTTTTGGTCTGCACCTCTTAGACGTCCTGGCCAGCACAGCTTATAATCAAGGCTTCTGGGGCTTCTTAGTCCAGGAACATATTAAGACCCAAAGTCGGAAACCACTGTTATAGGGGCACTTCAAAACCATGTACAGTGGTGCCTCGCTTAATGATTGCCCAGCATTACGACGAATCTGCTTTACGACAATGTTTTTGCGATCGCAATTGTGATCGCAAAACAATGTTTTAAATGGGTTTTTTTCGCTTTGCAAAGTTCGGTTCCCTGCTTTGGGAACTGATTCTTCACATTACGACGATCAAAACAGCTGATCTTTGGGTTTTCAAAATGGCCACCGGGTGCTCAAGATGGTTCCCCGCTGTGCTTAGCCACCGAAAATGGCTGCCATATGGAGGAAACCTTGCTATACAGGCACCGAAAATGGCCGCCGTATGGAGGATCTTCACTGGACGGTGAGTTTTTAGCCCATTGGAACGCATTAACCGGGTTTTAATGCATTTCAATGGGTTTTTTATTTTCACTTTACGACATTTTCGCTCTACAGTGATTTTGCTGGAACAAATTAATGTCGCTAAGTGAGGCACCACTGTAGCTTTCTAAAGACCACCCACACCGACTCCTCTCATAGTAGTGGCCACAGTGGTTAATCTGACCATTCATCCTATCTTTTACGTCCAGGTGGAGAAGAAGTGGAGAGAATCATGAAGGGCTGTACAACTGAATCCGTCTGTGCTTCGTTAAGAAATGGCCATCCCCTTTTGGTCAGCCATGATCTTGTGAAGTCTGCCAGGTGTACACCTGACGTTTTTAGCCATTCCGAGACTACCAAGCTCCTCATACCATCTTTCTCTGGGCTGCTACTCTTGGCAATCTTTTTTTAAAAGATGCTTTATGTGACTGCATCAACACAACATTGAGTTGTGTCTCCGTTGAGTACGCACACCACTTTCTGTCTACACAGGTTGGCCCTCCTGAAGGAGCTTCTCTTTTTGCCTGCATGAAAATAAACTCTAGTTGAAAAAAAAGAGATTACATATGATTATGTGGCATTTTCCCCCTTCCTCCCCCCAAATCAAACTAGACCCAACTCTTGAAATAATGTGTCTTCAGATTGCCTGGATGTGAACCTGGTGATTAATGGGAGTCAATCAGCTGTTTCTTTAAAAAGGAAACAGCCAAGGTCTGGCTATAATGGCCCACTGCTCATTCCTGGGCGATCAGAACTCACCATAAAGATAATATGTCATCAAGTTGATTCCAGCCTATGTCGTTGACCCTTTCCAGGGGTTTCTCAGAAGTGGCTTACCATTCCCATCTTCTAGGGGTGCTCGAGGAGTGTGCAGCTTGCTCAAAGCTACACTGGCTCGCTGTTCCCCTGAGAGACACAGTGGAGATTTGAACCCCTGGCCCACCGAGCTATCCAGCCAGTAGAAAACTCACCCTAACCAGGGAAAAATGCTTTGGCTGTTGGCTGCTGAAGATCCCGGCTGGAATAAGCATGGTAAGGTTTGCACAACCCAAGAATGGAGGTGTTTCTGCAGGCTTCTCAGCTTCATTCGAGGGGGCAAAGAAAGGAGACTCTTACTGTTCATACTACCAATGGCGCAGGGCATGGCGTAGATGGGCAAACTCTTGCAGGCAGCCATCAGCTGTCATGTAGCTATTGAATCCTCTTTGAAATTTGGTCCATGCAAGTGCAGAAAACAGGAATTGTGCATCTTGAATGGCACAAAACTGGGAAAACCATTCCTTATTTCGGGGGGCTTTGGGAGACTTACTTTCTCCAGGACAAATAAACAAATCAACAACAACAAAAATAACTTAAATGCTTCCTCTCTTTCTCATCACTTTCCCAGTTGTCCTGTGCTTCTGATTCTGGTTGTTTTTGCTGCTGGAAGGGAAGGGATTCTACACCAATGGCAGCGCTCTGAAGCAAGCAAACAATAAGGTAGTGCTTCCCAACCGGGGGTGTGTATGTCTCCAAATAATCTTGGACTACAGCTCCCAGAAATCCTGACCAGCACATCTAGTGGTGAAGGCTTCTGGGAGTTTTAGTCCAAGAACATCTGAAGACCCGATGTTGGGAACCACTGCAACAGAAGCCCTTGGACTCACTTTAGGGAAGACCTGGGGACATTGAAGACCTGTTAAATAACTGCAGCATCTTGATTGTATAATACAAACACTAAAACAGACTCCTTGCCTCCCATGTTGTTGTGACAATAAAGGTATTGTGGCTTTAAGAAACATGGAATCTTAGAGGCCCAACAACTGTTATTGGAGGTGGATGGGAAATGGCTTTACAAGTAGCTACTTTGCAGTCCAGGGGACTCTTGAGAGTCCCCTGGATTGCAAAGAGAACAAACCTGTCCATTCTAAAGGAAATCAACCCTGAGTGCTCCCTGTAAGGACAGATCCTGAAGCTGAGGCTCCAAGACGTTGGCCATCTGATGAGAAGAGAAGACTCCCTGGAAAAGACCCTAATGTTGGGAAAGTGTGAAGGCAAGAGGAGAAGGAGATGACAGAGGACGAGAT